CCACTCGATGTGTCCCTTTCACGTCAATGTTTCTCTCTTTCTCTCTCTTCCTCCCACTCTATCTGAACAAAAAATGGAAAAATGTCCTAGGATGAGGATTAAAAAAAAAACAAAAAACTTGTTAGAGTAAATCTTATGTTTTTAATAAAATCCAGATCTCTTACTATGGTCTCCAAGGCGCTTAGCGCCAATGACATATGGAATCACTCCGTAAGGTGAGTACCATTCCTGGGCACATCTTGTCCCCAGAGGTGTCAGACAACTTTCACAGCACCATTCTCTGCCCCCTCCTGCCCCTCCTATTGTCTTAACATTAAAAAAAAAAAACATTAGATTCTAAAACAGAAAGAATTGACAAGTCCCCTCATACAATAATTTGTTCTCCACCTCTGTACACGTGTTGGTACCACTCACCTCTACCACTTCAGGATGATTTAACGAATAATTGGGATTTGTAAAACTATCTGTTTTTCCTATCTTCTCTAACTTTTTTCATACTATGTTTACAAATATGCTCTTCAACTTTGTTCTCTGCAAACCCCACCCAGCACCAGGAATCCAAGCAGTGATGGTAGTTCTCAGTGTATAGTTTTCGTTAGGTCAAGTTAGGAAAAGTTCTCCTGAATGTTCCACCAGCACCATCAACTTTCAGGTAAACATCTATTTTTCTGTGAGTTACAAAAGAGTTGTCACATCATCACCTACCAGTTATACTCTCCTCTTGGACCAACTCTGAACTCGGAGCAGCAGGGAAGGGATGGAGAGGCAAGATTACTCAAAGTTTGTCCTGTAAAGTAGAAGCTGGCCTTGGGCCCAGTGTGGGAGCCAGTGCTTGGGTATGAGGCAGCCGGGTATTAGGGATCAGTAGGGAGGCAGGGCTGGCAAGTCCCCTGACCCCTCCTGGCCACTCCTCAGCCACTCAGTCCTTTTCTCTATGTCACATGGTGGCCCAAACCTCCCTGTCTATTGGCCACAGTGGTACCGGCCTGGAGCGCGGGGTTTTCCAACTCCAGCTGGAAAGGAGAAGATTCGGAGATAGCCCGCTGAGCGCCATTTGCTAAGCTGGACTCCGAGAGCAGCGGTCACCTACACGGCTGGGGCGCAATCTCTGCTTCTGTGAGTGGTTCTTCTGCATTTGAGTCGGACCTGCAGTTCTTAGGGGGTGATTGGCACCGAGGTTGGGGGAGGAGGGTGGAAGGATACGAAGCTTGCCATTGTGGGAACCCGCTTCCCGCTCCGCACCTTCCAAGGTCAAGAATTTTACACCTGGAAAGTCACTTGCAGACAGTCTAGGAAGCTGTGAGCAGCTGGGGTGGGGGTGGGGGATGCATTCCAGAATGCACTGCAGAAGTAATTCAGATTAAAGAGCCAAGCTCCTTAATTTACAAATGAGGAAACAGAGATGCCCTGGTGGGGTGTAAGGAAAGGGTTTGGGGAAAGACACACTCTAATTTTGTTGGTGGTGGTGGTGGCTGTGGATGATTCTTTCCTATCTTTAGGGTGGAGTAGGGGGTCGCCAAGTTTCAACAGACCCCATCGCGGAAGCGGGCTGTGCCTGCTGCCTGCTGCCTGCTGCCTGCTGCCTGCTGCCTGCTGCCTGCTGCCTGCTGCCTGCTGCCTGCTGCCTGCTGCCTGCTTTGGGGCCTTTTGGTCTCACGGAAGTTGGTGAAGCGCGGGGCTGAGTACAGGCGCCCGAGGGGTCCCGACCGCTGGCTCCGTCGGGTCTCGGCGATATTCCGCAGCCATCACCAGGTCTGGCCGGTTATGCTCGTCCCACCTCTGCGCCCTCATCGCAGCGGCTGAGGAGCAGCGACAGCCGTGCAGAAGCGCCCTGGGGCAGCGATGACCGGCTGTTACCCCCGCAACTCAGGTGGCCGGGCGCGCTGTTTCCGGTCCGCGCCACAGCCGCTGCAGCAGTCAGAGCTCCCGGGAGCTCACGGTCCCGGACACCTCCACCCCCTGCCAGGTCTGGCTCAGCTCCTCACCGAGGTTAGAGGACCCAGAGGTGCGGGAAGGAAAGGGGGGACCACGAGAGTTCAAAGTTTGTCGTGGAAGGCGAAAGCTGGCCAAGGCCAGAGGGTGGGAGCGAGTGGGTTGGTGGGAGGCAGCTGGAAAGTCGCGATCGCCAGAGCGACTGCGCGGGCCTGTCCCCGGACCCCGCCTTGCCACTCGCCAGGCAGCCAGTCCTCTTCAGTCACGCCTCTCGGCAGCCGAAACCTGGCGGTCTATTGGCCACAGTGGTCCTGGAGCGCGGGGTTTTCCAGTTCCAGCTGGGAGGCCGATTCCGGGAAAGCCCGCTGAGCCCCCTTTCCTAAGCTGGACTCCGAGTACAGCGGTCACCAGCGACAGGCAGTCTCTGCTTCTGTGAGTGCTTCTTCACTGGAATGGGACCTCGGGTTCTTAGGGGGTTATTGGCATGGAGGTTGGGGGGGGGGGTTGGATAGGCAGCTTCCCATTGTAGGAACCCCTTCCAGCTCCCCACCTTCAACGTCAAGAGTTTTACACTCGGAAAAACACTTGGAGAGAGTCTAGGCAGCTGTTCCAACAGACATGCTCTGAGCAGCTAGAGTTTGGGGTGGGGGGGGACTGTTAAAAGTGCAAATTCCAGGACTGCACTCCACAAGTACTGCTGGTGATCTTGAGGGATGGGGTCCCCTCCCTTCCTTTGTCACAAATCCACAGACGATAATTCACAGGCACAGTCAAAATTTACTCAGAGCCTAGCTCCTTAATTTACAAATTAGGAAACAGAAATGCCAGGTGGAGTGTACTGAGAGGGTTTGAAGAAATACACCCTCTATTTCTGTTGTTGTTGGCGTGGTGGTGGTGGACGATGGTTCTTTCCTGCCTTTAGAGTGGAGTGGGGTCGCCAAGTCCCACCAGACCCCAGCACAGGAACAGGCTGCTTGCTGCCTGCTTTGGGGCCATTTGGTGCCCTTGAAGTTGGTGAAGCGCAGGGCACAGATGCCCGCAGGATCCCCGACCGCTGTCCCTGTCGGGTCTAGGCGATTTTCCACAACCACCACCATGGCTGGCACGCCCCCATCGCGGCTGGAGGGCAGCGGCGGCGCACGAAGCGCCCTCTGCCGCACTGTTTGCCCGACAACTCGGTCCCGGGCGCGCTATTTCCGCTCAGTGCCACTGCCGCAATCAGAGCCACGGGAAACCGCGGGTTCCCTGGCTCTGCTCCTCCCACACCCATCCCGCCCTGGCTCAGCAGCTCGGGGGACAGCTGACTCCGAGGGGAGGGCAGGGGAGGGGAGGTAGTGGAGGGGTAGGGTTGCTCAGAGTTTGCACAGGAAGACGGAATCTGGCCGTGGGCCGAGTGTGCCAGCGAGAGGATGGGTGGGACATAGCAGGATGGTCGGGATCCTTAGGGTGGCTGCCCAGGCATTTCTTGGGACCCGGCCTTGCCACTCGCCAGCCCGCCTGTCCTTTCCAGCCACACCACTAGGCGGCCACTATTTCGCCATCTATTGGTCAGAAGCGGTGCCCAGACTGAACCGCGCGCGGGCTTTCCCACTTGGAGGCTGCGCGGCAGACATCCTTTGCTCGCTGACCGCAATCCCCACAGAATCTGTGACTCCCAGTGCTGAGGTCACCAGCACCAGTTGGCGCAGATTCTCTGCTTCTGTGTGTGGTTCTTCTGCATTTGAGTCTTACCTGGAGTTCTTAGGGGGTGAATGGCATGGAGGGTTCTTTCAGACCTTAGGTAATTTTCACCATTGCAGCCCTGCCCAATCTCAGCTAACACCTGAGGGGAGCCCTCTGCATATAACCCAGAGTTCTCTCTGCGTCCTGCGAACTCCCGCCACCTTGGTCTCTCACTCAGCTCTATCTCCTCAAAACAGGAATTCCATCCCGCTCTGCCTGGCTGCCCCTTCCTGCACCCTGGCCTGGAATGTCTCCAAGCAGTCACCCCCACAAACCACAGGGTCCACTTCATTTATGACTGTTCCTAACGGCATGGTGTCCAGTTCCTTGCCAACAAGATTTCATATATTTTGCCCATTTTTGTTTGTTTTCAGACAGGCGGGTCAATCCAGTCCCTGTGACTCCTTTTGACCAGAAATCCAGGTAACCTCTGCTTTGCTGTTCTTGTCTACCAGTTCTGTCATAGGTGTCACTTCTGGGTCTGTTTCTGTTCATTGCTCGCTCTCTACATTTTTGGCAATATTTTCCTGCTTCTTTTTGTGCCTGATTGTTTTTGATTGGATAGCAAGCTTGGTTAATTTCATGTTTGGGGGGGAACCTGGAGAGGGTAATATTCCTATCTGTGTGCTTCAGCTGTGTTCCAATGCACAGTTACTGTCCTTGGAAACAGTTGTATCCCTGCAAGTCTTGCTTTTAAAGTTCATCAGGTGGCACCATAGCAGCCTTTTGCTGAGAGCTGGGTTTATCCTGTGGTGGAGGCAACGCCTTTCTGAATACTATGCCTGATGGCTCATGAATTATGAAGTTTTCTAGTTTGATTTTGGGGGGCATAAAGTATTCTCAGCCCTATAGGAGCCTCAGAGTTATTCTCTCTTTCCCTTTGGGGGGTTCTTCCCCTGGCTTCCAACAATTTCATCACTGCCATGCACTGACTGTGAGAGCTAGGGAAACTACCACAGGTCTCCGACTCTACTCTCTGTCCATGTAGCTGCTGCTCTCTTCTCTCCAGTACTCTGCCCCACAACCTCCAGCCACCTCCCACAACTCAGTTTGTCTTCTCAACTCAGGAAACAGCCAGACTCTGTTATGTTTCCCCTCCCTGAGTTGTGGCCAGGGAACTCTCCAGCACAATAGGCTGGACAGCCCAGGGGCTCACCTCAGTGGACTTCCCTCTCTCAGGGATCGGAGGTCATGGTCCTTACCCACTTAATGCCATGTGTTTGAAAACTGTCACTTCCTATATTGTCTGGCATTGTTTTAGTCATTCCAAGTTGGAAGACAAACCCATCACTATTTCTCCATCTTGGCCAGTAGTGGAAGTGAGCTGGACACTCTTGCAACTCATCATGAATCCCGTGACTCGTGAAGAGAACACGTCACCTAGTGTTACTGAAAATGACCAGGATACCAGACCTGAAGTTTCAAAGGTATGTCTGCACTTTACACCTCTTGTCTGGAACAGCATTCTATAGCCAGAGTGCTATATTAGAGTCCTCAAAGGGGACCGTTCATAAAGAATGGCAGCTATGGTCCCTTCGTGTGTTGTTTTAGATAAATCTGGGAACATCACCCACATAAGCGTTTCTGTAGCACAAAATGATAGTGTATGAATTAACAATGGAAAAAAAAATGCCTTGTTAGACAAGATGACTAATCAACTGGATGGACACTTAATATTGTTGAAAATATAAGCAGGCATAAAAAATTACAGAGTTCATGTTTACTGAAAAATGACTATGTACCTGCAATGATGCTTGTCACTTCCTATGGATTATCTTATTTAACATTTCATACAACTCTCTGCAGTACATGTTATCGACATGTCTCCTGTACCAATGAAGAAACTAACACCCAACTTTCTGAAAGTCACAAAGTAATAGACTTCAGAACATGGATTTTGAACCCAGGCAATAAGAGCCCAGTTTTTGACCAGCACACTCTTTTACACAAAAATAGACAAAATTGTAATACTGAATTATGATAGATGCCAGTGATTAAAGAGTGCAGAGAAAAATATGTTGATTTATTTGAATTTGAGTATGTATATCTGTCTGTATATCTAGCCAATCTTGTGATTGATCAAGCATTTTATTAAATTTCCTTAGTGCTGATGAAATCATGCACACAATAGAAACTGAAGAGATGTTTAATGGAGATTTTTGAAAGTTGATATTCCAAGTGTCCAAAAGATGTATTAAGTATGTCCAGCTTTACTAGTAAGTGAACAAAAGCAGATTTTAAAAGCAGTCAGATTAGATGTCATTTCATCTACCAGTTGGCAAACATTTCTTTAAAAAAAATTTTTATTATTGATTTTAGAGAGAGAGGAAGGGAGAAAGAGAGAGAGATAGAAACATCGATGAGAGAGAACATCAGTTGGCTGCCTCCTGCATGCCCTCCACTGGGAATTGAGCCCATAACCTGGGCATGTGCCCTGACCGGGAATGGAACCAATGACCGCTTGGTGCATGGGTCGATGCTCAACCAGTGAGCCACACCGGCCAGGCAGTTGGCAAACATTTAAAATAATAATACTGATGCTTTAGAGAATCAACCACACAGTTGATCCCATCGGACAGTAGAGTGAATTGATATGACCTTCCTGGGACGCAGCTTGGCAGTGGATTTGTGGTGAAATACATTCATAAGCTTAGTCTCAGTATTGCCACTGGTGGTAATCTGGCCTAGGGAGATAATCAGATGGGCAGACATAACTGTTTTAAGTGTAGAAATGTTTGCCATATTAGAGTAGTGAAACACTGGAGACTATCCCATTTCCAGCAAAGAAGAATGGATTAAAACTTATTGTACACCAAAGTATCACATGACCCATTGCTCGTGTTTTCAAAGGCTGTCTGCAGACATGTGCAACCCCTGGAGGATTGCTTAGTGAGAAATGAACTCTTAGACAGCACAGTGTAATTTAAGTAATGTAAGATTTATACCTGAATATTAAAATCTAAAAAGAACAGAAAAAACAAAATGTACATTTATCTCTGGGGATGGACTGATGATTGACATTTCTCCATTATTCGTTATCCATCATATTATCTCATTTTTATTTGGAATTTCTCTTAGTTTTTCCATTATAAAAACATGACACATTATTATTAAGGGTGATTCTTACTGACAGTGTCATCTTTTGTTTCTTAAGGGACCTGGCACGGAGCAGACCTGTTCCTATACACCTGTTGATCACCCTGCCTCTAACGGGGGAGAGTGTAGCAGCACCATTAAAGTTAAACAAGAAGACCATGGATGTGAAGCATCTGCTAAAACTCAGAACCCAAACCTGCGCGCCAGTGAAAAATGTTATTTCACCTTTACTTTGAATGTAGGCTCCGGGAAATCAGACCGTAGTGTGTTTACAGCATCTGGTGAACTCCATGAGAACATCTACTCAGTTCTGACAGCTAATGACAATTTCCAAGAACGGATGGAGAAGCATCTTCATAAGTACATTAAGGTTTATGAAGAGAAAACAATAGGAGCGTATATAAATTTAGGAATGCCTCTCAAGTGCCTACCTACAGATGCTCACCTTCAAATATCTGTTGGTGGAAGAACTAGAAACAAGGAAAGATGTGATCAGATATTACGCCACTGTGAAAATCTCAGCATTGAATGCATTCTTTTCCAAGTTGTGGCCATTGGGAAGAGTATAAAGACGATAGTTAAGATCAGCGAACTTCATGAAAAGGGAAGTACGCTTTGTATCTATGCCTTGAAGGGTGAGACCATACAAGAAGCCCTGTGCAAGGATGGCCGATTTAGGTCAGACCTGGATGAATTTGAGTGGAAACTCATGGAAGGGCCTAAGCACGTTCATGGAAAGCAGTCCACGGTGGAGGAAGTATCTGGAAAAACCTTAGAAATGGACATTTATAAAAAATTGCCTGTCAAGAAAAGGACCCATAAGACAATTGAAGAGAAGAATAGAAATGTCACTAGTAAAATCCATCCCCAGGATCTGATGCAGTCTCAGATCCAGGACCACGAACCAGAGACAGATGGAGAGAAGGAAGATGAGGAACACAACAGACAAAATGTTCCCCCACCTCCAAGTGTAGGGCATGACATTGCAGCTAAAAGACGCCGGACAATTTCCAGAATTAAACGTTATTACAGGAACAGTCTTAACAGAAAACTCAGGAAACAAATGTCACTTTCTCGGCCAAGGCCACGTCTGGGTATGGAATATGCTCTAAATTTGGTTACCCAGAGGGAGGCAACTAATTTCTGGATAAAGAATTACAAAATGTTGACTCCAGTTAAAATGCAGCTTTACCCACATTTCTATGAGGACGTACGTCGGATAAGAAAGTATTTTTGGGAAGAACGGAGGAGAAACAAACTCTCACCATCTCAACAATTCAGTATATATAAAAAGTGCTTTGCAAAGGTGACTGAGAATTCTACTTCAATTGCAACCTATGAACATCGTATTCATCTTAGTAAGTCAGTCGGGTTCATAAAGTGGAACAATAATGGAAACACAGGCAACGCTACTTGCTTTGTCTTCCATGATGGTTATATCTTCACCTGCAGACATGTTGTAGGCATGATGGTGGGAGAAGGCACAGATCCAAGCTTGTGGCCAGATATAATAAGCAAATGTGCACGGGTAACTTTCACTTTTAAAGAATTGGCCCTTCCTCCTTCTGAGGAATGGTTTTCCATCGAGCCTTGGATTGAAGTGTTTGATGATGCTCTGGATTATGCCATTTTAAAACTGAGAGACCATGGAAAAGGGTTTCCTCCAGGCCTACGTGGACAAACTTCTTGTTTGCCATCTAGTGGTTTGCTTTATTTAATTGGTCACCCAGAAGGGCAGGTCAAGAAAATCGATGAGTGTGCTGTGATTAATCTAGTGGATCGTATAAGAAGGTTCTCAGATACTTGCTTAAATATGCATTTGTTTACCCCAAGAAGTTTCCCACCGGAGGCTTGGCGCTCTAGCACACTTAGTTATGATACTTGCTTTACAAGTGGGTCCTCTGGCTCCCCAGTGTTTGATGCATCCAGCAAAGTGGTAGCTCTGCACTCTGTTGGGTACTTCTATAAATGTGGAGCTGTGGTGCATGGCCTTATTGAATTTGGCTATTCTATAGAATCAATTCTTCGTGATGTTAAACAGAAAAATGAGGCTTTGTATAATGTATTCGTCAAAGAGAAAAATGAACAAGAGTCATCACTCTCAACTGATCAGATGGATCCCATGGAACATTAGAAGAAAAGATGCTGTTTTGAACAAAATATGCAAATAATTTAGAGTATCTGGGGCTGCTTCCTTAAAGTATAATGAATACATTTTCTTGATTAGAAAACTTTTAGAGAATCATGTGGATGTGCAAAATACAGAGTAGAGCTCAAATAAATACTAAGTTTATCTTGTTGGCTTTTTCTAAAATATGAATCAAGCTCAAGCTTCACTTAAAATACTCACCTTCCTTATACACATACAAAGAATTTGGCAGTTGCCACCATATGTGCCTAGGATGGTACCTCCCCCTACCCCAATCTGGCGAAGAGATTCTTGATCTCTGTCTAACAAGATATGGGGAAACATGTCTTTAAAATTAAGGGGGAAAGATGTATTGTTCCTCAAAACTTCCCAATTTCTCTGGTAATCTTTATTGTTTCCCTTCTATGCTTCCTGTGACATCGGCCTCTCTTGTAAGCACCAACAGGAAATCCCAGCATTTCAGTTTTGTCGAGTTCTGCCCTTCTCTAGCAGATGTAAGGAGTGACTTGCTTAGTCTTCATCCCTACCCTTTCATGTTCACAGTCTGGAAAGCTAAAAGCTAAATGAGCCCGGCTAATTTGCAAGGAAGATTTTGGGGGTAAGTCAGATTCCTCTACTGATACGTTTGCATGTCATCTCCATGCAAATCTGTCCCATCTTCTGGCAACTAAGTCATAGAAAAATGAGTGTGTAGAGATCAGAGTGTTGGCCACGTTTGGCTTCAGGTCTAGGCATCAGCTTCGGGGGTATCCAGTCTACCCTGCCTCCAAGGTGCTTAGTACCAATGGCATTTGGAAGTGTTCCTTGAGGTATGTTCCATTCCAGGGCACATGCTGTCCCCAGAGGTGTCAGACAATTTCTACAGCACCATTCCATGCCACCTTTTCCCCCTCTTAACATTTTAACCTCTACAAGTTCTCATGCCACCTTTTCCCCCTCTTAACATTTTAACCTCTACAAGTTCTACGAGAGAGAGAGAGAGAGAGAATATCAGCAAATCCCCTCATACAATAATCTGTTCTCCACCTCTGTATACATGTTGGTACCACTCACCTGTACCATTTTATGATGATTTAAGGAATGACTGGGATTTGTAAAACTTTTTTTTTATTTTCTCTTTTTTTTTTTTTTTTCATTTTATTTTTACAAGTATGCTCTTCAACTTTGTTCTCTGCAAACCCCACCCGGCAGCAGGAATCCAAACAGTGATGGTAGTTCTCACTGTATAGTTCACATTAGGTCAAGTTAGGAAATGTTCCCCAGATGATTCCACCAGCACCATCAACTTTCACGTAATGGTGCTGACCTCTCCCCCCTCTGGGCAGAGTCTGAAGTGCATCAGCCCCCAGACAAGCTGGCTTATTTGCCCGCCTGGAAGTGGGGAGGTGCAGTGGGGGTCCCCAAGTCTCTCTAGACCCTACCGCAAGACCCGGCTGCTTACTGCCTGATTAGGGGCCATTTGGTCTTCTGGGAGCTGGTGAAGCACCGGCAGCGGAAGGATGCCGGTGGGATCCTGGCAGTTGCCTCTGTAGGATCTGGGCGATTTACCTAGGCAAGTAGCTAGGTCCGGCCAGGGGTGCTCTTCCCACCGCCGCTGCCCACCTCCCAGGGTCTCAAGGGCACCGACCACCCAGCACAAAACCGGGGGTGGGGGGGGGCGGGGGACGGTTACATTCTGTTCGCCCTGCATCTCAGGTCTCCGGAGCATTGTTCCCCTTCTGCTCCAAAGCCGCCTGAGAAATCCCGAGCCCCCGGCTCTTCCCACACCCTCCCTGCGCTGGCTCCACTTCTCCCTCGGGGACAGTGGACTCTGGAAGCCGGGGAAGGGAGGAGGGCGAGATCGCTCAAAGTTTGTCTCAGAAGGCAGAAGCTGGCCCTGGGCACAGTGTGGGAGCCTGTGCTTGGGTGAGACTCGGTGGGATACTGGGGATCAGGTGAGTGATTGGGCGGGCTTGTCCCCGGATCCTGCCTTGCCACTCAGCCTTCTAGTCCTTTTTGCTACGTCCCTTGATGACCGAAACCTGTCAGTCTGGTGATACCCGCCTGGTGCGCGGGGTTTTCAAAATCCAACGGGGAGGCGGAAGACTCGGAGAAAGCCCGCTGAGAGCCGTTTGCTAAATAAAGTGGACTCAGAGTGCGGTGATCACCCGCAGGGCCGGGGCGCAATCTCTGCTTCTGTGAGTGGTTCTGCATTTAAGTCGGACCTGCATGAAGGTTTGGGATGGTGCATAGGCAGCTTTCCATTGTGGGAACCCGCTTCCCGCTCCACACCTTCAAAGGTCAAGAACTTTACACCTGGAAAGTCACTTGGACCAATCTTGGCAGCTGTTCCAAACAGTATGCTGTGAGCGTGTGTGTGTGTGTGTGTGTGTGTGTGTGTGTGTGTGTGTGTTGGGGGGGCGATGTGAAAAGTGCCCATTCCAGGAATGCACTGCAGAAGTGCATTCAGACCAAAGAGTTAAGCGTCTTAATTTACAAATGAAGAAACTGAGATGTCCGCTGGGGTGTAAGGAGAGGGTTTGGGGAAAGACACCCTCTAATTTTGTTGTTGGTGGTGGTGGTAGTGGTTGTGGGTGGTTCTTTCCTGTGTTTAGGGTGGAGTGGGAGTCACCAAATCTCACCAGACCCCATTGCAGAAACGGGCTGTTTGCTACCGGCTGGCTGCTTTGAGGCCATTTGGTCCCCTGGGAGGTGGTGAAGGTCAGGCAAGGGAAGGACGACCATCGGAATCGGACAGCTGCCTCTGTAGGGTCTGGGCGATTTTCCTAGGCAGTAGCTAGGTCTGGCCCAGGATGGTCTTCCCACCGCCACCACCCACCTGGCAGGGTCTGAAGGGCACGGACCACCGCGCACAAACCCCCGGAGGGAGGTGGGGGGGGGGGGCGGTGATGGTCTGTTTGCCTGGCATCCGGGTCCCGGGAGCACTGTTCCCGCTCCGCGCCAAAGCCCCCGTCGCGCCTGCAGAGCCGCGGAGAAATCCCGGGTCCCCGGCTCCTCCCACACCCTCCCCGCGCTGGGTTAACTTCTCACACGGCGACCGTGGACTCTGAGCGCCGGTGAAGGATTGGAGGGGCAAGATTACTCAAAATTTGTTCTAGAAGGCTGAAGCCTTTGGCCCAGGGGGGAAGCCAGTGCTTGGGTGTGACTCAGCGGGGTATTGGGGATCCGGTGGGTGGCTGGGCGGCTCGCCCCCGGGTCCCGCCTTGCCACTCAGCCCGCCAGTCCTTTTCACTGGGCGGCCCAAATCTCACTCTCTATTGGCCACAGTGGTACCGGCCTGGAGCGCGGGGTTTTCCAACTCCAGCTGGGAAGCAGAAGGTTCGGAGATAGCCCGCTGAGCGCCATTTGCTGAGCTGGACTCCGACAGCAGCGGTCACCCGCACGGCTGGGGCACAATCTCCGCTCCTGTGAGTGGTTCTTCTGCATTTGAGTCGGACCTGCAGTTCTTAGGAGGTGATTGGCACGGAGGTTGGGGCGGGGGGGGGGGGGCGTAATGGTTAGGCAGCTTCCCATTGTGGGAGCCCGCTTCCCGCTCCCCACCTTCAATGGTCAAGAATTTTACACCTGGAAAGTCACTTGGAGACAGTTTGGCAGCTGTTCCATCAGGCAAGCTGTGAGCAGCTGTGGTATGTGTGTAGGGGGAGGAGGGCGTATTTTAAAAGTGCCTATTCCAGGAACGCACTCCAGAACTGCATTAATTTGTGAATAAAGAAACTACGATGCCCAGGTGGGGTGTAAGGAAAAGGTTTGGGGAAAGACAACCTCTATTTTTGTTGTTTTTGTTGTTGGGGGGGGGGGTTCTTTCCTGTCTTAGGGTGGAGTGGAGATCACCAAGGGTCACCAGATCGCATCGCTGGGGCGGCCTGTTTGCTGCCTGCTGCCTGCTGCCTGCTTTGGGGCCCTTTGGTCTCACGGAAGTTGGTGAAGCGCAGGGCTGAGTACAGGCGCCCGAGGGGTCCCGACCGCTGGCTCCGTCGGGTCTCGGCGATATTCCGCAGCCATCACCAGGTCTGGCCAGTTATGCTCGTCCCACCACTGCGCCCTCATCGCAGCAGCTGAGGAGCAGCGACAGCCGTGCAGAAGCGCCCTGGGGCAGCGATGACCGGCTGTTACCCCCGCAACTCAGGTGGCCGGGCGCGCTATTTCCGCTGCGCGCCACAGCCGCTGCAGCAGTCAGAGCGCCCGGGAGCTCACGGGTCCGGGCTCCTCCACCCCCTGCCAGGTCTAGCTCAGTTCCTCACCGAGGTTAGAGGACCCAGAGGGGCGGGAAGGATGGAGGGGCACGAGAGTTCAAAGTTTGTCGTGGAAGGTGGAAACTGGCCACGGCCCGATCATGGGTGCGAGTGGGTTGGTGGGAGGCAGCTGGAAAGTCGCGATCGCCAGGAGGGCTGGGCGTGGCCACTCCTCCTCCACTCAGGCCCTTCGTTTACGTCACTTGGCAGCCCAAACCTCGCTGTCTATTGGCCACAGTAGTGCCCCTCCTGGAGCGCAGGTTTTCCGATTCCAGCTGGGAGGCCGATTCCGGGAAAACCAGCTGAGTTTCAGTTTGCTAAGCTGGAGTCCTGGTGCAGGCGTCTCCAGCATGGTTGGGGCGCAATCTCTGCTTCTGTGATAGATTCTTCTGCATTTGAGTCGGACCTGGAGTTCTTAGAGGAGACTAGCATGGAGGGTTCTTTCCTGCCCTTAGGTAGTTTCCACCATTGCAGCTCTGCCTTGTCCCAGCTGGGTACCTGAGGTGAGCCCTCTGCATATAACCCAGAGTTCTCTCTGTGACCTGTGAACTCCCGCCACCTTGGTCTCTCACTCAGCTCTATCCCCTCAAAACAGGAATTCCAACCCGCTCTGCCTGGCTGCCCCTCTCTGCACCCTGGCCTGGAATGTCTCCAAGCAGTCACCCCCAGAAACCACAGGGTCCCCTTCATTGATGACTGTTCCTAACGGCATGGTGTCCAGTTCCTTGCCAGCAAGATTCCATATATTTTGCCCATTTTGTCTTGTTTTGTTTTCAGACAGGAGGGTCCATCCGGTCCCTGTCACTGCATTTGGCCAGAAATCCAAGGTAACCTCTGCCTCACTGTTCTTGTCTGCCAGTTCTGTCATAGGTGTCCCTTCTGGGTCTGTTTGGGTTCAATGATTTCTCTCCTCATCATGGGCCATATTGTCCTGTTTCTTTTATGCCTGATCACTTTTGATTGTTTAGGAAGCTTGGTTAATTTCGTATTTGGGCGGATGCTGGAGATGCTTGTATTCCCAGCAATGTGCTCTAGTTTTGTTCTCATGCTCTGTTCACTGTTTCAGGAAGCAGTTGCCTATTAGAAAGGATATAGGCATGACTGCTGAATTTCAAAAATAAAATAGTAGCTTAATATAGTAACTTAACCGTCATGTAGTAGTCTAAATATACAATTCTCTGTGGTTGTGGGAATCCTAGGGTGTCAAGGTATTAGGTTTCTTCAATCAGATTACCCCACAATCCTCAACATGCAGGTGGTCAAGATGACTCCTAACCTCCCACCCAAGCCACAGCCAGGGTGAGAGGAAAGAAAATACAAAGAGAATACGCGTCTTTCTCTTAAAGACACCATCTAGAAACTGCATGTCATGGCTGCTCATATCCAACGTGTACAACTTGGTCACTTAGCTCACTTAGCTGAAAATCAGGCTGTGAAATGTTTATTCTGGATGCCCAGATGCCCAGCCTCAATTCTGTTACTGTGGAACAAAGGGATAATGGGTATTGCGTAAGCTAGTAGTCTCAGCCACAGGCCCACCCATGTGCCCCTCCACCCCAGACTCCAAGATAGTCCAGAATTTCTGGGTAGTGGGCATCTCTCCATCACATCTGAATGTAGCTCCTCATGGTCCACAGATGTGTCTGTCCATCCCCCCTCACCCTTTCCAGTCGAGTTCCTTGATTGTCAGCTTTGTGAGGCATATTCCTGGGGTCCATATAGTGATCCTGCAAATCGTAAACTTCTGTACATATGGATGAAAGTCTAGAGAATTGTTCACTCCACCTGCACTCGAAGCTTCTTCATTGTCATTGTCTTGAGGCCTGCTCTATCTGCTGGGAATGCCACCCCTTGGAAAGTGCGGGGTTGCCAAAGGCCACTCCTACCCACCCATCCTTGACCAGTGCCTCCTGTGAGTTAGAGCAGGTGCTGCCTGCAGAGGTCAGGCTAAGTCCAGGGGCCTCCTCCCCTGCCAAACCTCGAAGAGGGGACTCTGGGGGCACCCAGAAGCCTAGTTTCCGCCCCCACCCCCACCTCGGAGTTCTTGAACCAGGTTCCCCTGCAAAAGGCTGTGGCCTCCTCAATGGCCCAGCTGCTGTGAACCTCTGCCTTTTGCTTCCTTACTTCCTGCTCGCTCTCAAGCCCCACCCACCGTGACCTCCAGACCCCCAACCCAAGGGATTTGCCATCCACTTACCGATGGGTCCTCACACCCTTTTCCTGCTCTCCACTGCAGGTACCTTCCCAGAACGTGGAATTCCTGGCTGGAGGGAAAGATCCCTTGGAAATCTTCATTGCAAGCCAGTGACTGCAGCTTGGAACAGACTCTCCTCTTAGGTGAATTACCCCTTGGGTCCAGCGGCTAACCTGTGGTTTTGAGAAAATTCATTAGCGGAGCACAATGCAGAAAAACTTCAGGTTCGAGGAGAGGAAGTGGGAAAAAACTATACACCGAAAGAAAGACGGTCTGTCCCTGGAAACGTAGAAAGAGCAGAGAGTAAAGTAAAAAGAGATGTGTTTCTTTTGCAGTGCCCAAGGGAGAGCTTGTTAAAATCTGATGTGTCTGTAAGACCCCAGTTAACACTAGAGAAATGTTTCCTGAGATCAACCTCTGTGTGTCTGAATTCTGTTTTACAGAATGTGTTTACAAACAGTACATTTTACAAACAGTAACACACATATCACTTAAAATGTGTTTTCCAGAGTGAGCTTCTTTCCAGGATAAAATCCTCTATGTGACGAATGTTGATCACGTCCTCAGGCACGTTCAGCATTGAGAGAAATGAAACCATCTATATTCACATAGCTTGCTAGTTACATTCATATGACTTACTACTCCACCATTGTCATCAACATACATCTGCTATTCCAGGAAACTTGCCCAGGTACTTGAAACTTGCAAATATCTTTATCATTTATTCTCATAACATCCTCAAAGACCCAACCACTCTTCAACAGAAAACATCCAAGTACCATTTACATTCCAAGTCTTGAACCTGTGCCCCCAAGCCCTTGCCTTATTATTTCCACCAAGGCTAAACTGTTACGCAGTGCTTACCCTATCCTAACCAATCCCCAACGTTAAAGACCAAAGTTAAACCAGACTTCAAAATCTCAAAAAATACCTCAGCCTTGCTCTCCCCACCTGTTGAAACACTACCAAAATTCTGTGCAATTATTGCTCTCCATGACCTCAGTAAACAATAAATCTCATTTTAGTTTCCCCAGGGTCTCTACTGTTGGAAAAGTCTCCCTGTGGTAAGTATATAACGATAATACCAACAGTAATATTTACTGGGCAACCTATTATGTGCCAGGCACTGTTCTGATGTGTTTACATTCAGTGTAGTCTTTACTCTTCACAGTAAGGGACTCTGATCTCACCACTATCCCCATCTTATAGGAGTAGAGAATGAGGTACAGTATTAATTAACATGCCGAAATTCAAGCAGCTAGTAAATGATAACCTGAAATTTGAACGCAGGTGGTTTTACAAAAACGAACATTGATATAGCACTTGCATATTTGGTATCTCAAATAGCATCATTGTCTCAGTTTACAAACAGAAAACTAAGGCTGAGAGAGGTTGGGCGAATTGTACACCTGAAACCTATATCATTTTATTAGCACTGTCACTCCAATAAATTCAATAAAAATAAAAATAAATTTAAAAAAGAAGTTGCTGGCACACAATAGGTTCTCAAAAGATTTGCTTAATTAATTGATGAATAAAAGTGAAATGGCTTGGTCAAAGAACTGGTAAATCTTATATTTTATGTGTATTGTTAAATTGATGTGTATTGTTAAATTGCCTTCCAGAAAAGAAATTAATCCTTTGTTGTTGTTATTTGCATCTTATTTTTACTTTGTTATGGTTTAAATATTTCAGAAAGTTTCAAATATTTCACCTTGTGCTTCCGTCTTGGAGACAGTGATGTGTGGGAATAAGAACCCGGCAGCTTATACAGAGCCAGCTGTCGAGTTTTCAGAAACTGTGAGAACCAGTTGTAAAATGTAGCCATTGCTTAAAAATTATATAAACTCACCATTAAATAAATTATGTTTAAAATAAAAGTAATGCATGCTCAAAGCACAAAAAACAAACAAACAAACAAAAAAACCCACAAAAAACAAAGAGCTAAGGCTGAAAGAGGCTGATGTGAGTTTCCTGAGCTCTTTCCCAGTAAATGATGAAGCCGGGGCTCCCGCTGCCTAGTGGAATGGTTAAGAGAGTAAAAACATAGTCTCTATTTATTTATCCTTTTACCTCAGAAATTAAAGTTGATATTTATTAGTGTAGTTAAGAAACAGCTAAATTAGAGGCTAGTTATTCATGCTTTTCAATTTAAAAAATTATTTTCAATTGCAGTTTACATTCATTATTATTTTGTATTAGTTTCAGGTGAGTAGCATAGTGGTTAGATAACCATATACTTTATGAAGTGTTCCCCCTGATATTTCCAGTACCCACCCGGCACCATACATAGTTATTACAATATTTTTTTTTATCCTCACCTGAGGACATTTTCCCATTTTTTGTCCAGGTAGAGTGGGAGGGAGAGAGAGGAACAGAGAGATAGAGAGAAACATCGAGAGCTGCCACTCTCACGACCATCCAGGGCTGGGGACAAACTGCAACCAAGGTACGCGCCCTTAGCGGGAACCGAATGCGGGTCTCTCTGGACGGCAGGCTGATGCTCTAACTGCTGAGCCAAACCGGCTAGGGCTATTACAATATTATTGACTCTTTTCCTATACCGTGCTTTACATCCCTGTGACTATTTTGTAACTATCAATTGCACTTCTCAATCCCTTCATCTTTTTAACCCAGTGCCCCCCCCCCCCAAATGTGGCAGTCATCAGTCTGTTCTTTGTATCTGTGATTCTCTAGTTCTGTTTTGGTTGTTCATTTATTTTGTTCTTTAGATTCCACATATAAGTGAAATCATATGATATTTGCCTTTCTCTGTCTGACTTATTTTACTTAGCATAATACTAAGTCCATCCATGTTGTCATAAATGGTAAGATTTCATTCTTCTTATGACTGAGTAATATTCCATTGTATGCATGTACCACATTTTCTTTAAAACGTAGTCTTTAAATAAGTTCTACTTGACAAGAACAACAGGGGCTAGAGCATAAATTAAGCAACAACATAAAGAAGCAAACCAGGAGGTAACCTTTCTGCAAACAACTGCTCTGTTTTCTTTGGCAAATCAATGCTTTTTCTAGAATAAAATAAACTTTAGATATATAATAATTAAAGACAACCTATGTACCGCAGTTGGATTTTGGTCTGAATAAATTAGTATTGTGATTATGTAAGAAAAAGTCCTAAATCTTCAGAGATGGAAAGTGATAATTAGGGTTAAAATGTCATGATGTCTCTAACTGTAAAATCATCTAATAAAATTTTTTAAAATGATACAATTTGCATACAAAAAAAAGAGCAGTTCTTAGCCCTATATTATGGGTATGTGGAAGCTCATTAAATTACTGCCTTTTTTCTATTTGAAAATGTTTATAATCAAAAGTATACTCTCTGGAGCTTTATGACCTTGAGTCAGTAGCTTAATCTCTGAGTTTTCATGTTCTTTACCAGTAAAATGGGATTAATCATATCTGTTTCACAGGGTTGTAAGAATTACATTGGGTAGTTTATGAAAAGCAGGTAGAACACAGCATAGTGCATCATATGCATACTCTATTCATTCATGGAATGTATCTCTTAAATGTATCTTTACTGAGGGCTTGCCATGTGACAGACATTGTGTGAGCTATTGAGATACTGAAGACAGGCGGTTGCTGCCCTTCCATGGCTTCCATTCTAGTGGCATTTATCACTATTGAAGATTTCATTCTTTTATTTACATTGTTCATTCTCCTCTGGGGAGACATCAGAGGAAAGGGAGAGGGGAAAATACTTCTTTAAACAAACAAACAAACAACAACAAAAACTAAAGCAGTAACTAATGTTCCTATCTTCCCAGGCAAATGCTCACTACAAGTTTATTTTGCCTTTATGATTCTTTTCCCACCTGTTCTCCTAGAATTACACCATCTCCTTGCCATATCCAACTGAAGTGGAGGCCAGATTTTAACATCAGTGTAACTAGAACACACTTTTGAATTCTCTTTCTGCGATCCCTTCTGTGGGCGTATATACCTGCCTTTGAATTTCATCTCTGCCTTGTAGCTCTGGCCTTGGGGAGGTCACCTACCTTCCCTGAGTTATACTTTCTCCGACTACAAACACTGATATACCTATTTTGCATGCTATCTGTGGGAATTGGCAATTAGAGATAATTTTTGTAAAATATTCAGTATTGTTTTCTATCGAGGGGAACTTTTATTATTAGAGTGATAATAGCTGGTGGATAAACTGTCTACTTGCTAAGTTAACATCTCTGAGAAGGACGAGGCGGGAACTGAAGGAAAACGTAGGCTGTGGGATTCCCATTAATCTTATCCTCTCCAATTAATGATTGCTATGACGATACTGCTGTAACTTGAATCTTTTTAGTGTTTCAGCTGAACTGTCTATTCATCTTCAGGCCACGATGAGCCCTAAGAAACGCAGGTCACAGAAGGTCTCATGCGATACAAAGACTAAGAAAATTAAGGACTTTTTCCCTCCGGTATGTTTGTTAATACTGTTTATAAAATATATGAATATTAGACTTAGCCATCCTTGACCCTGGGTTTTCTAGTCTTCCTGCCAAGAAATTGCCTCATTGAATGTTGGGCATGTTAAATAAGTTAAAATCTTTCTCATTCATTTTATTCTTTCCATTTTGAGGGGTGGCGGTGAGGAGTTTTCATAAAAATCTAGGCCTTTAACAAAAAAGTTACTGTAACGGTTCCTAAACAACAATAGTGAAAAGCAAATATTATGTATTACAGTAAAACGTGGAATAAAAACAAAATTGATGTTATTTCATAGCTTGAAAATATATACTGTGCAGATATGGCTGATCTATTTGATAACAATAATAGATTTGTGTAGGGCTTTACAGTTTATGAAACCATTTTAAAATATTTATTCTTACTAAAGCTTATTAGGCAAGCAGGGAAGCTTTTCTTACCCTCAGTTTGTTTATAAAGGGAAGAAAGAAGTGCATTGCTTCCTAAGGCAGTAGTGGAATGAAGACTTGGACTTACGTCTACTTTCAGTGGGGGCCCTTTGTACTAACTGGGCTCTGTTATCATACTACATCATCCTATCCTTTCTTGAGTCTAAAATGCTCCTTGGATTTATTATGAAAAAGGCTGAGAGGTGGTGAGCATTTGAGAATGCAACTTAGAAGCCTTTAACTTGTCTTTTATGCTCATTCTAAGTAGGGCATCCAAGTATGTAGAAAAGCCAAGCTAAGCCTAGTTCCATTCTCCGTCCCACTCTATGACAGTGCTAGCCAATAACCATGTAAAACCCCACGTCCCCCTTTTGAAACTCATCTGCCCAAGAATCCTTTGACTAGTTGGAAATACCTAGTCTCCCCACGGGCTGTGCGGCCAGGAGCCTCTGACGGCATCAGGCTGGAGGGATGCAGAGTTTGCACGTGTCCCCAGAATAAATTTATATTACCTTATGCTTCTTTTGTTTTTATCCAGAATATTAGTGCCATTACAAAGAAGGAAACTAAAAGTTTTCTTTCCACAATAGTTCCAGCCATTGTGCTAGGCAGTGCCACACGTGACATTACATTTAATCTTTGCAACAATCCTGGCATTGTTATTCCCATGACCAGCAATTGGCATCTGTTGCCATGATGAATATTTCTTGGCTAATATGTATCTTTTAGGCATAGGAATCCAATGCTCTTAACTTTTTATGGAATTTCTGCTATTTGATGAATCTTCCTTATGTAATTTCTCTGCCCTCCCCCCTCCTCGGTGTTTAAGAGAATGCCCTATGAAAACAGGAATTGTGGATATAAAATTTACCAAAAAAAAGAATATGTAGTCTAGTGGAAAAAATATTGGACTAAGTATTGGAGTTCTGATACTCTCTTCATTCGTTGGTTATTATGTAACCCTAAGAAAGGTACTTACAGGAAAAACTTTCTGTGCCTCAGTTTCTCCATCAAAAGGACAGGGATGCCATATTTGTTGTCCCTCATTCCATAGGATTTTGGAATTAATTGATATAATAAAGGAAATGATTTGAGTTCTTTGTATGATCGATGTTGGGTGAATCAGAGTTTTGTTATTAGAAATAACTATATTATTATGACCAAATATTTAACAGATGATGGTTTTGCTTAACATTTAATGCCCAATAATAAACCATGGTACCTTATTCTTGCTAAGTTTGATGCTTTAAGAACAAATTTTTGGTGCAATCCATCACTGTGGTCAGACAAAGTAAAAATTATACAGAGACCTGATAGAACTCTGTAAGAGAATTGGTAGACTTTTAAGCATCTCTGTGTTTGATCCACCTAGAAACAGTTGTTTTTCATGTTTCTCAGAAAAAGGCACCAGTCTAGCAGTATTAAAAGCATATCTAACTGATGGGACAGGAAACTCAGCTTATATTTTGGCTCCCAAACTCTGACTTAATTCTATTCACTGGCCTTTGGAGACTGGTTCTGGTTTCCTATAGAAATTTTATGAATTGCATACTACAAAGAAAAACAAAGGATAAGAGTTGCATACACAGTTTTATAGTCTTTAACATTTTCTTTTAGGTCAACAAAGGACAAGAGAACAATCCTAGTATTCCTCAAAAGAAGATGGACTCCAGAAAAGACCGAAAAGATACAGCTAATGCCGAGGCTCATGGACCCAATGACCAGGCTACATCCCAAAATAAGGTACTTTATGTTACCGTGGATGTAAACCACAAGAAACACAAAGAAATGAAACACATGCTCACGCATGATAAGAGGGATAGCTTATCTGTGGCACTTGACACCCTTCAGGCTGTCAAAATAGAAAGAGAAACTCGGCAAGGCATTGAAATGCTGGTACAGGGCATAGAAGCAATTAAAGGTTTCATAAACCTTGGGATGCCCCTCAGTTGTTTTCCTGATAACTGCCACCTGAAAATTACATTTGCTCGGAGTAAAAGTAAGGAGAAAAATGAGAACCAGATAGTTGGCCGGCATGAAAAGGCACCAGCTGACTGTGTCAAATTTTTTATCCACGCCATTGGGAAGAAGAGAAAAAGGATCGTCAAACTCGGGGAACTTCACAAAGACGGGTACACACTCTGCGTCTTTGCTTATAAAGGAGAAACCATCAAGGACGCTGTGTGCAAGGATGGCAGATTTCTTTCCTTTCTGGAGAGTGGTGATTGGAGACTCATTGAAAACCTGAACTCTGTGGTAGAAAGCACACAGCAAGTGGATGACTTAGATGGCAAGCTCTTTCAGCTTGAGATGGAGACAGATGTGGCAGCCCCTCAGAATTCTCAGCTGGGGGAACGAAACACCTGTGTGTTGAATGGAGAAATTGTGGCCCAATACCCTAGCTTGGAAGGAGAAACTAAAAAAATTAGAGAAAAGTTTAAGAAAGACATGAAAAGAAGAAATGGGAAATCATTATTTCATGCACATAAAATAAACTTTGGGAAACAGACTAAAAACTCTACCCCAGTTAAAACACTCAAACTTCTTTCTCGGCTCAGTGACTCAGTTGGGTATATATCATGGGACAACAATGGAAATAGGGGTTCTGCCACCTGCTTTGTTTTCAGAGAGTTGTTCATTTTAACTTGTGGGCATGTAATAATGGACATTGTGGGAAAAGGGGTAGAGCGAAGTAAGTGGGGAGACATAATTGGTCAGTGTGTAAGGGTGACATTTGGTTACGAAGACAGTCATGAAAAAAATAACTACTTTTCCATTGAACCTTGGTTGGAGATAGGTGATGAAATTCTTGATTATGCTGTTCTGAAACTGAAGGAAAATGGACATCAAGTACCTATGGGACTATATGATAGAATTTGTCTTGCGCCACTTAATGGGTTGATATATATTATTGGCCATCCAGATGGAGAGGCAAAGTCTACTGATGCTTGTGTTATAATTCCTCAGAGTCAGCGAGTAGAGAAATATCAGGAACATCTTCAGGCTGCGGGTTACAATGATCATATGCGGTATATCCATATGTACACTCAAAGAAGTTTCCAGGCAATTGTTCCCAGACCTGATGTGATTACCTATAACACCAGTTTTTTCTTTGGGTCTTCTGGCTCCCCAGTGTTTGATGCAAAAGGTTCATTGGTGGCCATGCATGCTGCTGGCTTCCCTAATTACTACCAACCTGGATTTTCCAGTATCATTGAGTTTGGCCCTACTATGGAATCCATCATCCATCATATTAAACAAAATTATGGAACATGGCTTGAAGAATTATGCAAAACTCAGCAGGATGTAGACATGATGAGTGATGACGAGTGAGGACAGTAAGAATTCAGTCTGTTTCCAAGCTTTAAGAGAATTACCTGTAAAGTGTTATTCCAGAAGCAGTGGTAGTTTTCTAAATTCCAAAATGGTTAATTTCATCAATAACAATAATTTATATTATTGACCATTTCCTATGCATCAAGCATTTTGCTAAGCACATGAAGAAACCACTTGTAGCAGCTCTATGAGGTAGACTGTTTATATCCTTATTTTCAAGTCAAGCATTGTGAAGAATGATTAGATTAAGTGATAACTGGATTTAGGGCACTGGAAGTAGTGTAACCACTGTTTTGTTTTTTACTTTCAATATCTTTCCCTAAATTCTGTTGCGTGAAGGCAGGATTAAAAACTTGTTCATCTCATTATGCCCAATGTCTGGCAGATAGAAAGTACGTGCTTTGAAATTGTGTGAGTCAGCCGGTAGCAAAACTTAGGGTTTCAGCTCATCTTAACTGAGGAGCTAAATGCTTGTTTAGAAATTAACTCAAAATCTTTAAGAATTTCCAAAATTTTCATATTATTAAAACTGTCAGGATAGAGGTGTTCTGAAATTCAAAGAGTGATATCTACTCCCGTATTTATAGACTATCAGGACAGGGCAATATCTTATAAGATCTATAATCATATTATTTTACTCAGATTTCCATAGTTTTTAACAAAGGTCCTTTTTTTGTTCTGGGGTCCCATCCAATAATGTTAGGTACCTACCATTACCCACAGCTGTTCTGTCTCTTCAGGCTCCTCTTGGCTGTGACATTTTGTCAGACTTTCTTTGTTCTTGATGACTTTAGCAAGAAGACTACTGATCAGGTGTTTTGTGAGATGCTCTTTTGCTGGAATGTGATATATTTGTAATGAATAGACTGGGCTTGTGGGTTTTAAAGAGAAGGTCATCCTAAAATTTTCCCTGGGTTTCACTTACTTATCCCTCCCCTCTCCCATGAATTCCTGGTGACCCCTGATCTTTTTACTGTCTTTATAGTTATGCTTTTTCCAGAATGTCGTATAAGTAGAATCATGTAGTATGTAGCTTTTCCAGATTGACTTCTGTCACTTAGCAATATGTAATTGAAGTTCCTCTGTGATTTTTCATGGTTTGATAGCACTTTTCTTTTTGTCACTGAATAATGTTCTATTATATAGGTATACCACAATTTGTTTATTCATTCACCGTTTGAAAGACCTCTTACTTGCTTCCAGTTTTGGTGATTATAAATAAAGCTACTATAAGTGTGTACAATTTTTTTTTTTTGGTATGTGCCCCAAGCGGGAACCGAACTCGGGACTCTCTGGTCCACAGGCCGACGCTTCAACCGCTGAGCCAAACTGGCCAGGGCAGTGTGTACAATTTTTGTGTGAACATACATTCTCAATTCAAATGGGTAAATACCAAGGAGGATGATCACTGGACTGCATGGTGAAATTATGTTTAACTTCATAAGTTATCTGCCAAACTGTCTTCCAATGTGGATGTGCCATTCTGTGTTCCCACCAGCAATGGAGGAGGGTTCGTTTTGATTCACATCCTCACCAGTGCTTGGTATGGTCACTTTTTTTTTTTTTTGGATTTTGGACATATTCATCCTGTTGAAATGCATGATATTCTTCAGGGTATTATGGGATGTATCATGAAATTGGAGCTGTCTTGGACGATCTAGCATATGTATATATAGTTAAGGAATTAGTCTATATTCTTTCAGGAGAATAAAACCCCAATAAATATCACAAGAATAAGGTATTTAGTTAGGAACGGAGGGTTAGATGACTGGGAGGAGCAGGGGACGAGATCTGTAAGGCCGCAGCCAGGGCGTGTCAGCCAGAGCATCGGAACGAGAGAAGTGGCTGGCTGACGTCGAGAAGGCTGAGATGGTCCTGAGACCGAACAACAAATGGGTCCAGGCTGCCTGTCAATTGAGCAAAGACAAGCTTGAATGGTTTATGGACATTTATTCCAACATTGCAGTGTGGGAGAGCAGTGGTCATGCCATAAAATCTGCCCACCCCCACTCGCCAGCTGCTTTTAAAGGGCAGAGAAACAATGACTACGTGAGAAAGGGCAGTTGAGCATAAAGGAAAAAAAAAAACAGGTAAAATCATTACAGATAAGGGGGGGGGGCAGAATGTGGGCTGGGGGGATTGTAAAGGGTTTAGGGCAAGGGAAAGAATGGGGGCTGCCCGGGCTGGTCCCCAGTGAGTCGCAGGCACAGTTCCAGTGTTCAGGCAATCAGGTTGTTAGTCTTCCTGCGATGTCAGGTAGTCCTTGGCGTCAGAGCAGGAGAACAGACAGTACTCCTGAGGTAAGCTCCTAAGGCGCACACCTCCCAGCCAGGTCAGAGTGGGTTTTTCTTTAATCAAAGCAAAACATCTACGATTAACATGGTAAAGAATGATGAACATTTCTTATAACTACGGCTAGTGCCCACTCTGACTAGTTCTCTATTCTATTATTTTCGGCCTCACCTCTTGTCACCATGATGGCAAAGTAGCAGCTTTCAGAGAGGGTGCAAAATTGCTACAACAGCTGCAACCTACAAGCTTGTGCAGACACCACAGTGTCCTGTCTGACCATTGTGATCATCCGAGAAGCAATACCTACCGCTTCGTGTTCCTCCTCCAAGTTTCTCATGGGTTTTGCTCATTGACGAAAGCTAACCTGTAACACATAGAGATTCTGGGGAGAAAAATAATTCTCAGCTCTATAAGGAAGTGGTGTTGCTGGTAACCAGCACACACAGAGTACACGAACACGTATACAATTATAAATTATCGTTAGTGAGGTGGTAATGCAGTTTTTCTCATAAGATGTACGTCACTACTGGAACTGATTCCTAACTGGCAGTCTTCTGCACACGCACTATGTCCTGAAAATCAATTATGCTACAAAGAAATCCTGTCACCAGGTGCTTTTTAGTCGCACACAGAGAAGTATCAAGTGGAAGATCAGGCTAACATTCCCTACAGGTGGGAGAGCAAAAGCAATTCCTTAGTTCCTGCCTGTTTCCTTTTGATCCTTCACGCTGCCCACCTCCTTCCTGTCTTTGCTTATTTTCCACATGGGAATTCCAGATAAAGGCACAAAAGCATTAAACGTGGCCTTTTTTCTCTCATTGATACTTTGTTTTTCCCCCCCAAAACATTCATTTCCTTATTTGTGTACCCCAAAACATATGTCCGAGTCTCAGCTGCGAGTAGCTATGGATGTGAATTTGACTTTTTTGGAGACAGTGTTTGCAGATGTAATTAAGTTCAGGGTCCCTAGATGAGATCATTTGGATTTCCAATGGGCCACAAATCCAATGGCTGGTGTCCTCATGAGGGTAAAAGAGGGAGGTTTGACCCACACCAAGCAAAAGGCCTCATGGGGGAAAAGAAAGAAGGAAGAGGAGGAGGAGGAGGAGGAGGAGGAGGAGGAGGAGGAGAGGAGGAGGAGGGGAGGAGGAGGAGGGAGAGGAGGAGGAGGAGGAAGGGGAGGAAGAAATGAATATATTTTGGGGTGGTGTGCCACAAGGATGCGGAGAAAGAAAACTAAGAAACCCATCAGCTTCCCTCCACACTGGAACCCATTTCAAAGCCAGGGCCTAATTTAGATCCACACCCCCTCCCGCCTTGCACAGCAGGAGTCAACCTTATCACTTGTTGCCAGCCCCCAGGTCTCTCCAGTTCCTTCATTTCCTCTATTAAACTGAGCTCTGTCCAGAGCTCTCACTGCAAAGAAAGACGCAGGATCTGTGAACAGGGAGTGGGCCCTGTCTCTAATGCATGGTGCAGGCAGTTGGGAGCCTAACACTTGAGGTGTCACCAGGTCAAGATATATGGGAAGGGGCATGGAGCTTCCACACCCTCTCCAGGGGCACCATTCTCCTTGTGTTTACCATCTGATCTTGGCTATTTGGTGACAATTACTATTGATTCGCTTTGGGTGAACTAAAACCTAAACGTTCATTTGGTTAAATCCAAGGCACCACAGCCACTCAAAACCAAAAATAGAAGCATGTAGTCACTCTGGTCTCCCTCCTCACCTATCTCCAGATTCCTCCTTTTCCCTTTACCAAAACCTCAGCTGCTTTTGGAGAAAGATAATTAGAGATGGAGCTGAGATCTCCCTGTCCCAAGGGGTCCAAAGGCCATATACACTTGTGTGAACATGGGAGGGAAGGAATCAAACCTGGTGCGGTTGAATTCAGGCTCCCAAATCACCGTCCTACTCTGTTCCATGATAGGAAAAGATTCTGGGCACAGCAATGGCCAAAGGGAGCTGAGGCAGTGGGGGAAGGGAGGCAGAAAGGGGTCCCTGGGCCTGGGTGCTCAGCAGACACTCAGAGGGACATGGGAGAGGAACTAGCACTGTGCTTAGGCGCTGAGCCTGGAACCAGAGGACAAGGGCGGGAAAGAATCTGACAAGGTTGTTTTCTCTACTCCACTTTCTTACCCGTAGCTAGCCTGTTTCCATCACCTTGTGCTTCCCTGGGCTCCTGGATAAAAATCTATGACTTGCATTGTGCTTCTATAGGAGGAAAGGCATCCTAATTCAGTTGATGGGGGTTAGGCAAGAGTTGAAGTGGGGAAGGAAAGCTGGAGTTCCCTTGTGGATGGGGTCCTTTGGAAGGGCTCAACGTGCTGAGATTGGTGGAATTGATGTGTTCTGTGCCTGGACTGCTCATCTCAAAAGCACCAAGTGGGATTCTTTTATTCAGGAACTGCTTCATGTGGAACATGTAGATTGTCCCCAAACCATTTCGCTGTCCCCTCGGAATATTCCAACCAAAATAATATAGAATCCCAAAAGAAGAAAGGGAAGTCCCAGCTTGGGTTAAAGATGGAAAGGCCTCCGGGCACTCAGAGGCCACTTTCTGGTCCAGCTCTGCCACCTGCTGGATGTAGCCACCAGTGTGCCCCTTCTAAACAAAGGCAGCCATTAACCTGTCTCTAAACTGTGTTCAAACTGATGGCTACACCCAAGGCGGTCTCTTCCACCAGGCATTCCCTTTGAGAGGTGGCTCAGCGGAGACTCATTGACTAACCAAGGAAGGACCCCGAACTTCCTTGGTGGTAAAATACAAATGGTGTGTACACTCGGGAGCTCAGCCAGCCTGGCTGTGGTATCATCTTAGATTTTACATGAAAAAGTGGCAGTTGCCTTTCTGGGGGAAACTGTATCCCCTACTCCATCATCAAGATTTTGTTGTTTTCCTCCAGGAAGGGGTCACCCTGTCTTCTGATAGGCGGAGTGAAATAAGACCGTCCTCATTTAATAAGGGACAAAAGTGGCCTGCCTGCTGTCAGTCTCTCCTCTTCCCAGTTAGCCCTCCAGGGGTCCCAACCCAGAGCTTGGGATGTTTAGCAGCGCCCCCTCATTTATCCAACCTGAACTCCAATTTTTATCTTGTCCACACTGTAAGTCTTTAGGAAACTC